ACAATATGTATGAAGGCATGGAAGAATGGAATATTTTGGAAAGTGTAAGGACAGGAGACAAAGTTATGTAATATAGGACAAAAGAAATACATGAATTTCATTTAATACAATAATGTGAAGTCAAATATTTCATTACCTTTTGCATGAATTGAAAACTTAAAATGGGAATAAATGGCATCAGAAATATTTAGTGATATTCATGCATTGAAAGAATTTGAAGTGCAAACTCACTTTCTTAAAAGTTAGGATGGAGCAGAAGCATCACACATTAACAAATAAATGAAATGTTTATTTCCTAGGAAACCCTTAAACTGCAGATTAAGGCAAGGAACAGTTACTTAATACCAGGATTTACTGCAGGATCTGCAGGAACAAAGCAAAGGATGGTGCAAAAGATCTTTACAAAAGAGCCATCAGTGTCATCTGCTTTGCCTTTTCAATTTTGTCTTCTAGCCTACATATGAATAACTTAATAATAAGTCATCTTTTTAAAAAATATATATTTTTTTATTGATATAGGAAGGGAGAGAGAGAGAGAAACATCAATGATGAGAATCATTGATCGGCTGCCTCCTGCACGCCCCCTACTGGGGATGGAGCCAGCAACCTGGGCATGTGTCCTTAACTGAAATCAAACCCGGGATCCTTCAGTCCCCAGGCAGACGCTCTATCCATTGAGCCAAACCAGCTAGGTCAAGTCACCTTTTTATCCATTGAAATATATGTGATTTTTTCCCAACAGAATAGCCTATTACTATGTTATTTTTGGTCCAGTCTTATGCTTCTCACTGCCTCTCCACCCACACCACACTAATTGGACTACTAAGATTTACTATAATATTTGAGCAGACAGAGCAAACAGTACTGTCACAGCTCACTGCATACAGAAAACAGACAAGAGGAAATGGCTAGCATCCCTATCCAGAACAGAAATTCAAAGCCTGAGCTAAAGGGACATTGGGAATAGAGAGGAAGGGACGGATTTAGAAGTAGAGTGAACATCGCTTCCCTATAATGGATGAGATATGAGGGTTAGGGAAGAGTTAAGGATAATTCTCTAAATCCAAAGTTTCTGGCTTGGGGAACCATGTGTAATGACAGCATTAACTGAGATATAGCATATATGAGAAGCAAATTTCCAGTAAATTTGAAATGAGGTATTAGTGATAAGGGAGGTCAAAAGAGAAGTTAAGATTAAAGATAGAGATTTGGAATTATTGGTATACAGAAGATAATTTAAATCATTGATTCAAATTAGGCTGTGGATGAGTCAGAGATGGGAAGCATATAGAATAAGAGGGCCAAGAGAGAAACCTAATGATCAGAGGAGATACCTAGTAATAAAAGAATGGTCTGAATAACAAGTTTTCTGGAAACCTAGAGAAATGAAAAGCTCAAGAAATAAGAGGCTGGCAGTATTGTTACTTTGGGGAGGAAAGCATAAATTAGAATTGAGATTTGGCAATTTAGTAACAGGTGAATTTAGAGCAATTTCAGTGAAGTGGAGATAGAGGTCAGCCCATATTAGGTTGAGAGATGAGATAAGGAGGAAGATGGAAGTAGCTTTAGAGTTCATAAAACCCAGGAAAGGAGTTTTGATGGTTTTTGGTTGGAGAAATGTAACATACTTATAGACTGAAAGGAAAAAACAGAGGAAGGTATTGAAAATAGAGTAATGAGAGGAGGTGTTTGAGGAGAAGATGCTGGAGGAGAATGAGAGCCAGTGTTGAAGGAGGCAATAAGAGTAGATAAGGGGTGATTGTGTCATTTTTTATAGAGGAAATAAAATCAAGGCCATCCACTGAAAGAGAGATGGGCATTGATGCGATGGGGAACTTGATGAAAAGAGTGAACATTTGGAAATACAAGAGGGAGCTGCTAAGGGGCAAGTGATAGAATTATGAGGGATAGGTCTTTATGAGGGAGGGGTTAATTGAATTAAGTTGACTGCCAATGGAAAAATGTCTAGGATTGCAGCAAGTCATAGTTTGCTCATGTACCTTCCTAACTTCCCAAGAAGGTAGGGACACAGAGGCAAAATGAGTCTACTAGTAAAATAGGCAAACCAGCTGGAAAAAGGGCAGGTGAAGAGATGGAGCTGGAGGGGGATTTGGCTGCTAAGTGAAAGGAGACACTGCAAAGAAAATGTTTCAATAGGGTTTTGGTTTTTTTCCTTTCCTTTTTTTTCAGAACAGTGAGGTCAAAATTTGTTTTTAAAGCTGGAATGGAAAAAAAATCCTATCTAATAAAAGAGTAGTATGCAAATTAACTATCACACCCTCACTCCATCACTCCCTCAGTCCATCACAAAGATGGTGGCGGCCACGGAGCTGGAGTGAGCAGGAGGCTTAAGTTGCCCCCAGCGATGGAGGAAGCCAAACTTCCCGCCGGGTCTGGTTGGCACTGGACTCCTCTCAGGGCTACAAAGTTTCAATTATAGAAGATAAATAAATCCCAGATACCTGCTTCCAGCCCAAGGGCATGGCCAGCCTGAAAATGGCCCTCAGCCCCTCACCGAGGCTGGTCAGGCACCCCAGTGGGACCCCCACCCTGATCCCGGACACCCTTCAGGGCAAACCAGCCAGCCCCCACCCGTGCACCAGGCCTCTATCCTATATAATAAAAGGGTAATATTCAAGTTGACCCTAACAGCAGAACAACTGGGAATGACTGGTCACCATGACACACACTGACCACCAGGGGGCAGACACTCAATGCAGGAGATGCCCACTGGTGGCAATGCGCTCCCACAGGGGGAGCTCTGCTCAGCCACAAGCCAGGCTGACGGCTGCCAGCTGCCAGCACAGCGGTGGTGGCGGGAGCCTCTCCCACCTCCTCAGCAGCACTAAGGATGTCCAATAGCAGCTTAGGCCTGCTAACCGCTAGCAAGTGGACATCCCCCGAGGGGTCCCAGACTGTGAGAGGGCACAGGCAGGGCTGAGGGACCCCCGCGAGTGCACAAATTTTTGTGCACCGGGCCTCTAGTACACACAATAAAAACCATAGCTAAAGCAATGACTGACATAATTTTTCCTTTTGTAGATGTACTGTTCCATTTGGAAGTCAAGGTTGGTGCCACTTAAGTGGGTTCCTGCAAGTGTTTTTTGTTTGTTTTTTTAAAAGTCTCTACATTAAAATATTACTTTATGGCCGAAACCGGTTTGGCTCAGTGGATAGAGCGTCGGCCTGCGGACTGAAAGGTCCCAGGTTCGATTCCGGTCAAGGGCATGTACCTGGGTTGCGGGCACATCCCCAGTGGGGGATGTGCAGGAGGCGGCTGATCGATGTTTCTCTCTCATCGATGTTTCTGACTCTCTATCTCTCTCCCTTCCTCTCTGTAAAAAATCAATAAAATATATTTTAAAAAAAATATTACTTTATGGTCTATACTATGAAATATTCCATTCCTGGACTGACCAGAGGCTTAGTTTCAAGTTAGCCCTACAAAAGGCTATTTTTCTATTGATTTTTTTTTTTTTTAGAGAGACAGAGGGAAAGACAGAGAGAAATACTGATGTGAGAGAAACACATCGATTGGTTGCCTCCTGCATGAGCCTCAACAAGGGCCCTGGCCTGGGAGGAGCCTGCAGTCTTTTAAAAAATACATATTTTTTTTTGATGTTTCTTAATTAAATCTTTATTGTTCAGATTATTACATTTGTTCCTCTTTTTCCCCCCCATAACTCCCCTCCTCCCAGTTCCAGCCCCACCATCCGCCCTCACTCCCCACCCACTGTCCTCATCCATAGGTGCACAATTTTTGTCCAGTCTCTTCCCACATCTCCCACACCCCTTTCCCCCCCAAGAATAGTCAGTCCATTCCCTTTCTATGTCCCTGATTCTATTATAATCAACAGTTCATTCTGTTCATCAGATTATTTATTCACTTGATTCTTAGATTCACTTGTTGATAGATGCATGTTTGTTGTTCATAATTTGTACCTTTACCTTTTTCTTCTTCTTCCTCTTCTTAAAGGATACCTTTCAGCATTTCATATAATACTGGTTTAGTGGTGATGAACTCCTTTAGCTTTTCCTTATCTGTGAAGCTCTTTATCTGACCTTCAGTTCTGAATGATAGCTTTGCTGGATAAAGTAATCTTGGTTGTAGGTTCTTGGCATTCATCACTTTGAATATTTTTTGCCATTCCCTTCTGGCCTGCAAAGTTTCTGTTGAGAAATCAGCTGACAGTCGTATGGGTACTCCCTTGTAGGTAACAGAGTTTCTTTCTCTTGCTGCTCTTAAGAGTCCCTCTTTGTCTTTTGCTCTTGGCATTTTAATTATGATGTGTCTTGGTGTGGTCCTCTTTGGATTCCTTTTGTTTGGGGTTCTCCGTGCTTCCTGGACTTGTAAGTCTATTTCTTTCACCAGGTAGGGGAAGTTTTCTGTCATTATTTCTTCAAATAGGTTTTCAATATCTTGCTCTCTCTCAACTTCTGGCACCCCTATAATTCTGATGTTGGTACGTTTGAAGCTGTCCCAGAGGCTCCTTACACTATCTTCGTATTTTCGGATTCTTTTTTCATTTTGCTTTTCCGGTTGGGTGTTTTTGGGTTTTTTTGTTTGTTTGTTTTTATAAGGCCCAGAGAACGCCCACCCCACCCGCACTCAGTGCCCCGGCCTCTGGAGCGTGACCAGCACATACTGCTGGCCGCAGGGGGTAGAGCGCCTACAGGGCTTCCTCCCACTCCGTTGCCCACCTCAGGCAGCTGGGAAAAGGGAAGTGAGACTTCTCACCTGCGTGGAATGGCCTCTTCTCTGGTGACATCTACAGGGGTCTAACAGAGGGAAGAGTGAGGGTGGCCTGTGTCTCTTGGAAGCCAGGCAGAAGCATCCGATACAGAAATGACCTGAAGAAGTTTTCATTGTTTTTATTTGGAAACTTAGAGACAACTCCAGCTCCTCTGTGAATTCCCAGTGAGTTTACAGCAGTCATGGGAAAGAGGTCTATTTCGCCCCACTTTTTGCCAGGTGCCAGAGCAGATAAAAAATAGGTGGTGGTTTATCAATGGTCCAGCTGGGTGGGGAGGAGCAGAGTGCTTGCAATCCGAAAGAAGGGGTTCGGAGGTGAGCAGGTTCTGGAGAGGCCTCGCCCTGCAGGGAATGAGGCCCTGGTCCATGACACCAGCCCTGGCCCTGGCACTCAGGGGCTGGTCACCGGGTAGTTCCCTCTGATGGCCCGCAGCGAGAGCTCATACCCCAGGAACATGGCTGCGCTCATGGGGAAGCCCCGCACAGCATTCACTGTGATGCCTCTGAAAAACACTTTAAGGCCGTCCTTCTGGTAACTCTGGGAGATACAGTCCAGGACACCTTTGTATTTGTTTATGTAAACCCCATCAGCCTGGAGTCGACTTTTCACAACATCCATAGGAGTCGCTGTCCCCCAAGAAATTGCTCCTGCCATGCCACCTGCCAGCCATACAGCATAGGGGCTGGGGTCTGCACAGGCTTTAGGTGTGATCCAGTTGGTCAGGAACACATAGGGAACAAAGTAGAGGCAATAGCCCGGGACGTCCTCAGCATCATGTCACCGGCACACCGGTATAGCCCCGCCAGGCCCTCAGTCCGCATGATGGTTGCAATGCAATGCACAGGCCCCTGGTAGGCTGGCTGCTCCCCGAGAGCCACTGCCCTGTTCTTCAAACTGAGGCTGGTTTCCCGAAATGCCTGTGTTTGCATCTGCAGGCGGATCTTGATGAGGTCCACAGGCGTGCCCAGTCCGACTGACACCACGCTGGCCACCATGCTGGCCAGGAGCAGGTCTGACAGGGTGTGGGGCAGGCTGGCCTCAGGCTCCCTGCTGTGGAGCTGGCTGAAGAACCTCTGCATGTTACTGAAGACCCCAAACACCACCGAGTTGTACACGGCGATGCTGGCCAGGGGGAAGGACATGCCCTTGAAGAAGCCGAACACACTCTCCTTCCTGTACACCATGCGGATGCAGCTGAGCGTGTTCCCATAGCCCACGCCGGCCTGCAGGCGAGTCTTGACCGTGTCCAGAGGGTAGCTGACAATGACACTGGCTGCACCTCCGATCCAGCCCGCCGCAAACTCTTCCAGCTGGAAGCTGCCCATGGCCGGGGCCGCGGCAATGCGCCCACCTGGGCCTGGTCGGTACCCATTCAATGTGTGAGGGGCGTGGCCCGCGGGAGGGGCGCTCGGAGGAAGAGGAGGAGAAGGAGGAGGAGGAGGAGGAGGAGGATAGCAGAGACAGGTTGGGTGATTTTTGCTTCTTCGCATTTCAAATCTTTGCCTTGATTCTTGCAGTCCTCTGGTCTGCTGTTGGGAGTCTGTATAATATTCGTTATTTCAGTCCGTGTATGTTTAATTTCTAGTTGGTTCTTTATCATAACATCGAGGGTCTCATTAGATTTGTTGAGGATCTCATTAAGTTTATCAGCGGCTTCTAGACAGTTCTTGAGAAACCTTAAAAGTGTGGTTCTGGCCTTGACCGGTTTGGCTCAGTGGATGGAGCGTCGGCCTGGGGACTGAAGGGTCCCGGGTTCGATTCCGGTCGAGGGCATGTACCTTGGTTGCGGGCACATCCCCAGTGGCGGGTGTGCAGGAGGCAGCTGATTGGATGTGTCTCTCTCATCGATGTTTCTAGCTCTCTGTCCCTCTCCCTTCCTCTCTGTAAAAAATCAATAAAAAATATATATAAAAAAAAGTGTGGTTCTGAACTGAATATCCTCCATTGACAGTTTTGTCCTGTTTCTTTGTCTCCGCATTTTTTTATGCTTTCTTGGTGCACCCCCTAGTGGTCTTTGTGTGCAGTCCTCCTGTAGTTAAGCCTTGATTGTTGTAGTTAATACTAGGGGGATTTGACCTCCAGGCCAGCTGGCTGTGAGAATCAGCTGTGTCTGCAGTGGGAAAACTTCTGTCCTCTAGGGAGGTGCTAATCTAGCCTTTGCCTGAGGCTATCTGGCAAATGGCTGTGTGCAGGGCTTGGGCGGGGCGGGTGGGTCACTTGGGCTGGGGATCAACAGGGTGGGCCGGAGAGAGCAGTTATGGCGGCTCTCAGTTCCGTCCCTAGGGGCTCTGCCTCACAGAGTCTCAGCAACCGCTGCAAACCTCGGAGAGAAAGCTGCCATCGAGTTCCGACCGAAGCCAGACAGTCCCGCTTCTCCCGTTTGAGTCTGGGTCCCTAGAGACTCACCCGGATCTGGAGCTCAGAATCTGAGACTCCCTCCCGATTGAAAGCACCAACCGTGCCCTCCGCCGCCAGCCCGCTCCGCGTGCACTCCATACCTGAGTATTTCACTTCAGCACTGCGCCTCCTCTGAGTCTGGGTATGATATTCTCTTTCCTCCTAGATGTAGAATTTCCACTCAGCCAGCCTTCCTGTGGTTCTGGATGATGTCCGTTCCGTCTTTTAGGTGTGTTTTGATTTGGTTGTTCAAGGCAGCAATCTCCGGCATTAGCCTATGCCGCCATCTTGGTTCTCCCTACATATTTTTTTTATTGATTTCAGAAGGAAGGGAGAGGGAGAGAGAGATAGAAACATCAATGATGAGAGAGAATCAATCATTGGCTGCCTCCTGCATGCTCCCCAGGGGGGATCAAGACTGAAACCCGGGCATGAGCCCTGACCAAGAATCGAACTGTGATGTCCTAGTTCATAGGTTGATTCTCAACCACTGAGCCACGCTAGCCAGGCAGCTGTGCAACATTCTGAATAACATGAGGAAATCTCCTGACCATTCTACTGCATCCTGCCTAGGACATTAGCCATCCCTTAATCCAGCATATCTAGGCTGTACACACTTGGAAGCCATCTCAGTTATTAGATTGACTGTTACAGTATCGCAGTGCTTGTGTTCAGGTAAATCTTAGTTTACTTAACAATGGCCCCCAAACTATTCACATACTTTTACTACAGTATCTTACTATAATTGTTCTATATTTTAATTATTGTTAATCTCTTACTGTGCCTAGTTTATAAATTAAACTTTATCATAGGTACGTATGTATAGGAAAAACAGTGTATATAGTTCAGTACTATCTGTGGTTTCAGGCATCCTCTGGTGGTCTTGAAACATATCCCCTGTGGGTAAGAGGAGACTGCTGTATCTTTCTATCTTAGATAATTGTAGATTCACATGTGGTTGTAAGAAATCATACAGAACAATCCTGTGTACATACGCCCAATTTCCCCCCAGTGAGCCACTCCATTTTGACATGGTTCGTCTGTATTTTTTGCATCCCAATGACTCCAGATTGAACCATGATATTTCCAATGGGCCTGGTATTGGTTTTGTGACATTTTCCCCCCTTTTAGCTCATAATGGTCATATCCACTAAGCACTTAGTATTTAACAAAATCAGGGCTAATTTTAAATTTGTACAAGTTTGATATTGCTATATTAACTGTTCCAGAGCCACTTTTTAAAAAAATATATTTTATTGATTTTTTACAGAGAGGAAGGGAGAGAGATAGAAAGCCAGAAACATCGATGAGAGAGAAACATCGATCAGCTGCCTCCTGCACATCTCCTACTGGGGATGTGCCTGCAACCCAGGTACATGCCCTTGACTGGAATCGAACCTGGGACCCCCCAGTCCGCAAGCCGACGCTCTATCCACTGAGCCAAACCGGTTTCGGCTCCAGAGCCTCTTAATTGGCAATCTTGCCTTGACATTTGGAAAGGGATAATTAAATATTAGGTAAAGGGATCTAAAACCCAAATGAATCTAATGTAGTATTGTCATGAAAACTTTTTTATAAGATTTCATTTGATCTCAAGTTAAAAAATGAGTCCAGAGGAGAAACCAAGATGGCAGCATAGGTAAACACTGGAAATTGCTGCCTCGCACAACCACTTCAAAAATACAACTAAAAGACAAAATGGACATCATCCAGAACCACAGGAAGGTTGGCTAAGTGGAAATTCTACAACTAGAAGAAAAGACAAAAGCACACTGAGACTCAGAGGAGGTGCGGAAGTAAAGTGCAGAGGTATGCAGGCGCATGTGGAAAGGGCTGGCAACTGAGGACACGGTTGTCTTTTTCAATTGGGAGGGAGTCTCAAGCTCCCAAATGTTCTGAATTCCAGCTCCGGGCAAGTCTCTGGGGACCCAGACTCATACGGGGAGAAACTGGACTGTCTGGCATCGGTCAGAACTCGAGGGCGGCTTTCTCTCAGAGGTGCTTGCAGCGATTACCAGGACACTGAGACCCGGGGCCTCTTAGGGCAGGACTGAGGATCAGCCATAGCTGTTTGCTCCACCCTGTTGATTCCCTGAGACCCCACCCCACCCAAGCTGTGCGCAGAGGCTTTTGCATATGAAAGGCCTGGCCCTTTGCAATCTGAAAATTAACTAACAATCTGCAGCTGGGTCAGAGAGACACAGAACTTCCAAAAGAAGGCCCAAGGCCCCACAGCAGCTTGCATTGCTTCACAGCTGGGCCTCATCTGGGCACCTCCAAACCCCAAACAAAGAAGAGGAATCTGCAGAACTCTCCATAGCTCCTGCTGGGTAGCCTCAGGCAGAGGCTAAATTAGCACCTCTTTAGATCCAAGAGCCAGTGTACCCAGTGGTCAGAGTGGGACCATCCAGATTACAACTCCTCAGATCCATAAGGGACACACTCAGGGGGCAGACTCAGTGAGCACCAAAGCCCCACTGAAGCAAGTCTTGCCTCAGAAGGGTGTCTCCAGCACAGAAGTTCTCCCACTGTAGACACAGCTGATTCTCACAGCCAATTGGCCTAGAGGTCAATTCCTCCTAGTGATACCTACAACAATCAAGGCTTAACTACAACAAGGCTGTGCACAAAGCCCACAAAGGGGTGCACCAAGAGTGTCCACCTCTGGTAATTGGGGAGGCTGAGCCACCAGGCCCTATAGGACACCTAGCAAAGAAAGCCACTCTACCAACACAGGGAAACATAAAAAATGTGGAGACAAAGAAACAGGTCACAAATGACAGAAATGGAGGAAAGCAAACGACTGGATATAGAGTTCAAAACCACACTTATAAGGGTTTTCAAGAATTTTCTAGAAACCGCCGATAAACTTAGTGAGACCCTCAAGAAATCTAGTGAGACCCTTGAGGTTATGAAAAAGGACCAACTAGAAATTAAGCATACACTGACTGAAATAAAGAATATTATACAGAGTTCCAACAGCAGACTAGAGGATCGCAAGAATCAAGTCAAAGATTTGAAATACGAAGAAGCAAAAAACACCCAACCGGAAAAACAAAAAGAAAAAAGAATCCAAAAATATGAAGATAGTGTAAGGAGCCTCTGGGACAGCTTCAAGCGTACCAACATCAGAATTATGGGGATGCCAGAAGAAGAGAGAGAGCAAGATATTGAAAACCTCTTTGAAGAAATAATGACAAAAAACTTCCCCTACCTGGTGAAAGAAATAGACTTATAAGTCCAGGAAGCACAGAGAACCCCAAACAAAAGGAATCCAAAGAGGACCACACCAAGACACATCATAATTAAAATGCCAAGAGCAAAAGACAAAGAGAGAATCTCAAAAGCAGCAAGAGAAAAAAAGTCAGTTACCTATAAGGGAGTACCCATATGACTGTCAGCTGATTTCTCAACAGAAACTATGCAGGTCAGAAGGGAGAGGCAAGAAATATTCAAAGTGATGAATAGCAAGAACCTACAACCAAGATTACTTTATCCAGCAAAACTATCATTCAGAATTGAAGGTCAGATAAAGAGCTTCACAGATAAGGAAAAGCTAAAGGAGTTCATCACCACCAAACCAGTATTATATGAAATGCTGAAAGGTATTCTTTAAGAAGAGGAAGAAGAAAAAGGTAAAGATACAATTTATGAACAACAAATACACATCTATCAACAAGTGAATCTAAAACTCAAGTGAATAAATAATCTGATGAACAGAATAAACTGGTGAATATAATAGAATCAGGGGCATAGAAAGGGAGTGGACTGACTATTCCCGGGGGTGGGGGGGGAGGATGTGGGAGGTGTGGGAGGAGACTGGACAAAAATCGTACACCTATGGATGAGGATAGTGGGGGGGGGGCGGTAAGGGCAGAAGGTGGGGTGGGAACCGGGTGGAGGGGAGCTATGTGGTGAAAAAGAGGAACAACTGTAATAATATGAACAATAAAGATTTAATTTTTTAAAAAATGAGTCAAGA